CTCTCTCTCTCTCTCTCTCTCTCTCTCTCTCTCTCTCTGTAGAAGGCATATGAAATATACACTTTACATCTCAAATAAAGTATATATTGTTCATTAATTGTTGGAAATTTTTAACATAATTTTATTTTCTTGTTTGGCATGTTTTTACCTTTCGTAGTCTTCAAATGATTTGTGTTGACAGAATGCCAAATGTGCACCTCAGTTGAGGAATCAATTTAAAAGGATTCAGTGTTGTGAATCTTTAACAATTTTCTTTAGCGTGATTGTGTTAATTTAGTTGTTGTTTTTCTGTCTTAACATGCTATTTTCTTATTCCAGGTGCATTTGAGGTTGCCATCGATGGAAAATTGATTTTCTCTAAGCTCAGTCGTGGGAAGTTCCCAGATTTCGAGGAGGTGGCAGAAGCTGTGAAAAATGTGGAATCCGGGGGTGAAATTCAGACTGTAGAGAAATGTCAGGCATCACTGTGCACCATTATTTAGTGTGGTTTCATGTTACAAGACAGACCTCTTACATCATTACTGTCTGATATGAAATAACATTTATCACCAAACGGAAGCTGTGTTAAGAATATAGAATTTAATGAGTTTTCATTTCTATATGAAGAGAAAGGTGTAAATAATTAAACTACCTTTCTTGGAAGAGTGCGATGATGAAAGCTCAGTAGATATCTGTGTTTCTAACATGGCTATAACTTGTTATAAATATATTTTTGAAAATTTCATTTTCCTTTCATACATTGCCTGAGTGCTAAGAGTGATGGTGGTTTCATGTTACAAGACAGACATCTTACATCATTACTGTCTGATATGAAATAACATATATCACCAAACGGAAGCCGTGCTAAGAATATAAAATTTAATGAGTTTTCATTTCTATATGACGAGAAAGGTGTAAATAATTAAACTACCTTTCTTGGAAGAGTGGGATAATGAAAGCTCAGTAGATATTTATGTTTCTAACATGGTTATAACTTGATATAAATATATTTTTAAAAAGCTCAATTTCTTTTATTTATACATTGCCTAGGTGCTTGGAATGGTTTATGGTAAATATTTTTATTGTAAATTCCCCCAGTATCTCTTCCCTATAACCTGAATCATCCTACGTCTAATCACCCTATCCCTCAGTCAAATTCCTTTTCCAGTCTAAATCCAGATACTTCAATCTCTACCACTTCCCGATACTTACCCCTCCTCACTCTATTTGTCGCACCAGGCAACCTAAACATTCCACTCCACCCACTCCTACCACATCCTCTCCTACACTTTCCTCTTCCTCTGCTCCTCAGATATTTATCTCCTCTTCTCTTATTCACAAGAGAACCTTTGTGTGTCAGTCCTCTTCAGCCAACTCCCCTCCAGGAACTCTTGGAAGACATCTAAAACTTCTGAAAGATGATCCAAGGGAACACTGCACTCCTTCATCTACCCTCCAATCACTCTGTCCCTACTCCTTCTACATTTAAAGTATTTGCCATTATCCATCCTCCCCCTCCTCAAGTTCCCCCCACCCCCCTTCCTCCTACACCCTCCCAACATACCACATCCTCTACCCACCTGAATGAGCGCTTGTTAATCCCTTCTGTCACAACAGTGTCTTTCTCCAGACCCCTCCCCTCCTGACATTCGTCCTGATACTTCACCACCTTCCCCAGTCCCCCTTACTCATTCCCCGGATTCTTCTCCTACTTCTTCAAAAGCCACCTCTATTTTCTTTTAACAATGTCCTTATTCCTTCCCTAGTCACATATGCTGCAATTCACTCAATTGTTCTGCCTCCTTAACCCTTCCCATTTAAGTAATCTCTGCTCTATGTTTTGTACTTCCCTCTTTTCCCTTTTTACTACCATACTATCACATAATGCTCTATATTCCTTGACATCTAACACCCCCCCCCTCCCCGGATTATTCTCCTACTCTTCCAACAGCCATCTCTATTTTCCTAGAACTGTTCCTATTCCTTCCCCAGTAACAGATACAATGCAGTTCATTCATTAGCTCTACCCTCTTAACCCTTCCCTTTCTACTAATCTCTGCTCTACTTTACTTGCTCCCCTCTTTACCCTTTTCACTACCATACTATCCTATAACACTCTCTAATCTTGACAACTAACACATTTTATCCTAATCTTTAACTCCTCTTTACCCTTTTTAATGCAATACTTTACCATAATGCTATATGATCTTTCATGTCTAGCACATTTATTTGTTTTAATCATTAAACATTAAACACAGGAAAATTCAGTAAGGTGTAAATTATGTAAATTATGTAAATTGACCTTTCCATTCACCAGCTACAAAGGGGGTTGTGCAAGTTGTACTATGTCACTGCCATTGTCAATCATGACCTGGATTGCTTACTAGTTAATGCTAATGACACCTTCATAACTGAGAACTTGTGGAGAATATGTATGAAAAGAATAAAATAACAGTGGGTTAACCCTATATGGGTACAGCCACATGAAGTCTGTAACTAGACAATCCAAAACAAATTGTCTGATCATTTTTTAAAGAAAATCTCGCATCAGCTCACCCATTAAGATGGAGAACTTTCTATTTGAACCATTCACATAGGAAACCAAATCTCCAGAGAATGCTGTTGTATGATGTGACCAATTGTATGTGTATGGTTATTTATTGTATGCATTAGCATAGAACACCTATCGCGTTACTACATTTTATTACACACACAGCTGGGCACGACCTGAAGTGCTATCTCCACCAGCTCCTCCCTCTCCCAGACCATGGTTATCAGGTGTCATAAATAAGTATAGTTCTCCAGGTCTTAGAGTCAACCAGGTGCACCGCACTCCAGTGATGCAGAGGTACTGCAGCAGTAACTATTTGATTACAGAAGGTGGTGAGAGAAAATTGTGAAAGTGCTCAATCGTATGTGGTATTGTAGTGATTATTCTAAATTGGAATATTCGCTCCCACCTCTACATCCTACCTTCCCCAGTCAAATTACTTTGTCACTCTAAATCCAGACACTCCAATCTCTACTGCAGCCCACACACCTTCCCCTCTCCCTCCCCGCACTACCCGGAACAGACAGACTAAACGTTCCACCCCTTCTACCACACTCTCCTCCACCTACCTTTGCCTCTGCTCCTCAGACACCAGTCTCCTCTCCCCCCTCCCCCCATAAGAGAACCTTTGTCTCACAAAACTCCCCAACCAAATCCATTACAGAAACTCTCGAAGGTATTCAAATCTATCTGCTCGAGTCCCAAAATGACTGAAACCCTCATCCACCTTCAAATTCCAAAGCTCCCGCTCCCTCCACACTCAAAGTGACAGCCGATACCCCTACCCATCCTCTTACTCCCTCCCAACCACACCCCCCCCCCCCCCCAGCTCCAACTACACCTATATTAACCCTCCATCCATCCTCTCTATCTCTTCCAATCCCTCCTGGATACACACGTGAATCCCTTATGTCACAACTATGGCCTTCCCCAGATCCTCTACCTCCTGATATTACACCCCCCCCCCTCCGATTCCTTATCTCACTCCCTTGCTCCTTCCCCTTCAAATTCTCCAACACGCACTAAAACCTATATCACACACAGATCAAGTTATGGCTCTCCTACATCGGAATATTCGCGGTTTCCGTTCTCACAGACCTGACATTCGTCATATCGTTTCTTCTTATAACCCATCCATTATCTGCCTCCAAGAGTCTTTTCTTACACATCCTCCTATACCAATTCCCAACTACACTTTTGTCTGTTCCTCGCACTCCCTTTATATCTCGTCTATACTTATCCATCCGATAACACCTTATGCCATACCTCCCTTTCAAACGACTGCCCCGTACACAGTTCCCACCCCGCTGACTTTGTTGCCTTTGAAACTAATTTCCCAACTTTAGCCACCTATCCTCATAGTTGGTGATTATAACTGCCGCCACACTCTTTGGGGTGATTCTATCACCACCTCTCCACAGATGACATTATTCTTGATTTAGATCGCCCCATACACTTTGACTTAAGGGGACCGTCTGGTCTTTTTTCGGCGTTTTCAATCTTGCCGAAATTGAGTTAAATGTATTCCAAGGAGTTTCAGGCCCCCCAATTCTCCCCCCAAAATTTCAAGGCCCGACCGCTGTTTTCTAGGGGGCAGCGGATCTTTTCGATGTCGACAAATATTATTTTTTTTCATAATACCTTAGACAATCGACAATTGTGACGTAATGATTAGAAATAATAAAAAAAATCTGATAGCTTATTAAATTTCACGTAAGATGATACCAATCTTCAATTTTTTTTGGAATGTAAAAAAAAATGACAAGCGTCCAAAAAAACTTTTTTTATATACAAATTAATAAACATATGCTGCTCATAGGAAATATTTTATTTTATCTATGTTTTCATCATATATAGTTACTTTGATCTATGAGCTAAATATTTCGAAAATGCAACCCCCCCACCCAAATGGGGGGTAGGATTGCCAAATGATCACCACCAAAATTTTATGGAATATCTGTTAGGCTAAGACACCCCAGGTAAAAATTATTAAAATCTGCCCATATTTTGAGTTAGAAAAAAAAATCCTGGATCCGAACCATGATCCACATCACAACCAAAGTGCAATCGGCGTCAAAGGTAGGTTAAAACACACCCTTGGTAAAAAATATTAAAATGTGTTCATAACTTTTAGAAATACCAGAAAACACAAACAAACAAAAACAAACAATCAACAAACAAAGTAAAATATAAATAAACAAAAGGTAATCGATACACGGAAATAATTTATATATTCTTACCTATCTTATATACGTATTTTTACACCACCCTGTACATGTATATCGTTGTTTCACGGGAGTTTAGTTTAGTTTAGTAATTTATTTAGCCTACCACCCTGGTGCTGCAAAATATTGTTTTTATATACGACAAAAGCGCATCCTACTCTACTCCCAGACTGCAAGGATCCATCAGTATAGCATTCATAGGCATTGGGCATAGTCTCAAGATGCTCACTGATAATTGCCAAAGCATACTGCTTAAGTACAGAAGGGAGGATACTGTCTTTTGGGGGGCAGTTGAGTAAATTAAACTTAGGTCCGACATTTTCCACGGTGGTGCAGAACGTCTATGTTAGGGTCTTACTTGTGGGTATGATCAGCTGAAGCAAGTGCTAACCTGTTACTTGTAGCCATGAATTTGAGTTTGAATCGATGTTGCTAATCAAAGTTAGCTCCACTATTTTTCACGGAAGTTTGAGTGAAAACTGATTATGTTGCCCTATAGAGTTAAACACCTCTGAAACGACTTGTGAGCCATGGCTCGATGTCGCCCGGCCGGGCTCAGACCGGGAAGCGTGTGATACCCGTCCGACTGGAGAAAGATCATTTTTTGACCAGTATTATACGTTGTAAAAACCCGTTAGAGCAACAATAATAGGTAAATAATAATTAATTATATCATATACAATTATTTCATACATGATTTCATATATAAAATGTAAAAAAAAAACATGAAAGAAAAAAGATCGCACTGTTTGGATCTTCACATTTTTACGCATAGCACACGCATTTTCAGTCCGATTTTAACGCATCATGGCTCATTTTGTAGCTGAATAGTAGATCTATTACATGCTGCAATAACGATTTGCAACATTTTCATGTGCGTCTTATAAAAGTGACATATATTTTCAGTGTCCCATTTTAGGGTGTTGAAATTGTCGCCTTCGTAAAATATTCACCAAAAAAATAAGGTCGACTTCCAAAAACTGGCTTCCGCATATAGTAAAAAGATTGTTCTATTCATATATGGAATCAGACTGTCTGTATGTTTTTCTGGATTTTAGAGATTTTTTTTGTTTTAATGGTCAATGTACGCCAATAGAAACCCAAATTTACTGCCACCCTGCTACACCATACGTAAGACTAGAAACCGTTACATACTGGCAACGTCCGCAAGACTTTGGAATGCAGGTAGATGATAGAGGATTATGGTGTAGGAAGACTAATCTTATATCTTGTTTTGTTAATACCAAAA